CAGAGTTTATTTGAGCGAGCAAACTCTGGGCCAGGTTTTGTCCGCCTGACTGCTGATAATGCTTAATCTCGTGAATTGAACGTTGCTGGGTTGCCGGATGTTATTGGCAAGAGCACTCTATCGAAACGATGGTGGGGGGGGGGGCTGTTCAACGATCTCCTGGTTATGAGGAGATCCATTCCCAAGAGGAGGGGGGAGAAAAAAAAACATCTTGGCCGGCATGAAACTTTTGCCGTAGTATTAGTCGCCATGGTGGCCGCGTTAGCGGCGGCGAGGAATGTGGCGTTGGCCTGAGATCCAAGCCCGGAGTGTTGTGCTGTTGACACTGTGGCTTTTTCCTGTAAATCAGTGTGCAGAACTGAGCCCAGTAAATAAAGGGTGACCTCGCCTCTGAGTCCCAAAGAACTCGAAAAGGACACGGGAGGATAATGACAAAGCCAAAAGCCGTTGAACAAAAAGCCTCTACTGCAATGGAAACATTTTCCTGGCTTATTTGTTTAGACGTCATATGCAAAAAAAAAAACGTTTATAGAGTGCATGAAAATGTCTACTTTTACATACATGGCTTAGGTGCTGCGTGATGAATCCAGGCCACCTGAATTTTATGGCCAACCACGGATAACATCAGTGGTGCGCATTCCGTCTCGCATGACCCGGCGACCTGCGGTGTTACTGACGAGCGATGACCCTTTGACCTATGTCAAAAACACCTTGACCTGAGTTTCAACCGCACCGAATATTTATGGCGTTTCGAAAGCGGTTTTCTAAACGCTCTCAAAGAGATCCACGCCATTCGTCGGAGAGCCCTTCAGCTGCTGCTGCTTGGTGCAACGTTTAACATCCTCAACAGTCTCCTTCCCAGTGCTTTGTGTAAAATATTTCTGCTTCGTAGACTATTTGGCTCGAGGCCCAAAGACGAGTCCGTGCTGCTTGGGAGAGGAATTCCTGCCATCTGAGCTGCGATCCTCGGAGGGGGTGGGGGGCGGTGTGGGGGAGGAGGGGGGCCAACGCAAATGCAGTGGGATTCATTCCCGGGCTGGGTCTGAGCTCGTCGACGCAGAATGCAGCAAGACGTGTCCATGCCAATAGTCGATAGTCGGGCGGCAGCGGTGGTGGTGGTGGCGGCGGTGGTGGCCACGCTGCTGCACGTGGCTGCCTGAGATGCAGCACAGTGGAGGCAGCAGCAGTGAGGGTTGCTGGATCACCGCACAGATGTTGTTGTTGTGAAACTCCCTTCAGCTGGGGCTGGCCAAGGTGGGGGAGCCGTACCCTGGCTCGCCAGGAGAAGGCGGTACGGAAAATGCGAACTCCACCTCTGATGGAGCAGGATAGAATATTGCCCCCTCGCACACATGGATTTTCTTCGGATAATGTAGTTTCCTTCCACATGTCAGCACTCATTAATCGGCTGCTAATACCTTAATATATAGAGGTTTGCAGAACTCGGGCGATTTTTGGCATGGCTGTCGCCTTTCCCGCTCGTCTCTGGCTCCTCCTCGTGCCTCCGAGTCTTCCTCTCTCATTGAGAGCGAGGAGCGAATACTGCGCTATGAAGAAGGGTCATTGACTAGAACGTCACCTATTAAATTTATTTTTATTTTAGGGCCACAGTGTTATTGGCAAACGTGCTGAGTTTTTTTTTTTGTATTATAGAACCGATTGCAGCAAGATTGAGAGAATCACTTATAAATTATTCGTGCAGAGTTCTATGAATTGAGTGAACGAGACTGTAGAAACTGGAAAAAAAGCCCATGAGATATCATTTATATCGATCCACTGCTTGATGAATGCTTCCCACAGCTCTACTCGTCATGGTGATAGCACGACCATGCTTCAGCGTTGCCGGTCAGCGTGGCTCGGTAAAAGCGCTGTGTCACCGCTCCCATCGGAGAAACGGTATGAGGTGGGGGGGGGGGGGAAATGTAACAAAAAATGTACCCCGTCGATCCTTCGATCCTTGAATCGAATCGCGACCCCTGAATGGCGCCAATTCATGGAATCCCCCGGTGACGGTGATGTTCAACGACGGGCGGCGGGTGTGAATCGGTGCACGCCGAGCGCACACGAAACCCTCGACGCGTCTCGGCCCGTGTCCGCGGGCTGGTGGTTCACGACGGGGAGAAGGCTCCCTCGGGCGTACGTCAGTGATGCTCGCCATACATTCGGAATATCCCAGTTTCCGCAGAGTGGGGGGGCGGGGGATGGCAAATACTGCTGCTGCTGCTGGCGGCTGTGGAGGGATGCGGGGGGAGCACCAGGGGGTGGCTGGAGGGAGAATTCTAGACGTAATTGCTCCTTTCTTTGCTCGCGAAGTCGGTCGTGCATCACTTGGGGGGCCCGGTCAATATATTTCAAGAAATTGCAGTAAACCGACTAAACGTTTTGCGTCGTAATAAGTGCCCTCTATTGAGCAAGTCCTATGACTTCTGCGGAAAGTCGGATAATAAACGGCCAATAGGTGGGGGGGGGGGGGGTGCTGGATTGGCCGTGCGTGTGAGAGCGCGTGCCTGGACAGCGCCGTGCAATGAAATAGGAATGGCCACTGTGGACGATTGTGCTCAGTGTCGAGTAGGCCTCGGCAAGGTAAGGTAAAAACAACGAGCCTACCTTTACCCTACCTTTTACCTTACCACAATACAATCACTCTACCCTACCTTTTACCCTTTAGCAGGTAAGGTAGAAGGTTAAAAGTAACGAGCCTACCTTTACCCTACATGTTACCCTTACCCCATACAAATTACCCGATTACAGGGTAATTAATGGGGTACTACACATGAAAAAGGTTTATAACAGGTAACTGCTAGATAGAGCGCTTTATTCATATAGAATACTCTCGATTATTCCAATTTTACACGCTTTCTTTAAACTCACTCTGTTGTCGTATCTTCATATCTTGTAACTCAATTTTAACCCACTTCCCAATGTGGTTTCGACTGCGAACTTGGTATACTTATGTCATACTGATGACGATACTATATTCTATCATAAAAAATAAAATGAAAATATTTTTAAGCATTATTTTTTAAATGTTATGTTTCGGCTTAGGTCTAATTGTCCACTGTCAGCTGACGTTGGCTGTAATTGGCCACGGCTCCTTACGTCGTGGCAAGCTTTGGGGCCACTTCCTGGAGTCGTGGAGTTCTGCCATTACTCGTAGATTTCATAAAAGCGTGTTTTTATTTTTTTAAAATATTACTTATTAAATGGAGGCCACGGACTGCGCCACGGAGCTTTTAGCGGTAAACAAGGCACCGTATTTACCGGGTAATACTTCTCGCTACCTTTACCCTACCGGGTAATTCTTCCGAGCTACCTTTACCCTACCCTTTACCTTACCCCTTGGCATGTCGACACCTTTACCCTTTTACCCGGTATAAAAGGTAAATTACCTTACCTTGCCGAGGCCTAGTGTGGAGGCTTCAGGGGCGGGCAGTTCGATCCGCGTAGTGCCCAGCAAATGGCTGGGCACCACGCGGAGCTGGCAAGGTGTGTATGTGGAGAGTGTTGGAGCAGCGGTTAACACACTGCGGTTGGGAACACAGCGACCCCAGTTTGATTCCCGCTCATGACCACCAACACCGCCTCGAATGATTACCTGGCACGTTGTGTAAACAACGCCACTCACCACGTCGTGTGCCGTGCCGGCCATCGTAGGCGCTCTCTAACAGCACTTGCCCCAACAGTTTGTGAAGACTATATAGGGGATCCTTCTCTTTGTGGTGTGTGTGTGCGCATTCGAGGTGGCGTGGGTTGCGTGCTGCACGACAAACCCAGAGGCTTGCGTTTGTGTCCCGGACATGGCCAACATCAATGGAAAGTGGTTTTCAGAACTCGGCCTAAAATGAGTTCTCGGTGTGGCTAGGGGGGGCGGTCTTCCTCCAGCAGTAGATCGATCGTAGCCGACGGCGATGATGGTGCGATTTGGAAATACCAGTAACGGGAGGCCTACATGCTAATTACACCCATCCCCTTACCGGTCGATTTACAACGGTGGTACCGATTTTACTGTGTACCACATTTACGACGTTCATATAATGCCACTGTGGATCGATTTTACGATGCAAAAACGTGACTTGTACGACGCGTCTTCCCGACACGACTCCGTACGCATTCGAACAGGGTCAGTTTAGTTTGGTTGTCCGCCTCTTGATGCCGGTTGTAATTACTAACGAAACGTCGTACTCTGATTGTAAACGTTGTGGATTTGCTCTCCAACACACAGGTGTGCTGTACTAGTAACGAATTGGCATGTTCTGTTTACGTAACAAACCGTACTAATTGGCTGTGTCGGGTGGTGGTGGGTTTAACGACACATTTCTATTCACGCGATCTAACTCCCCCCAAAAAAACCTATATTATCAGTCTGGTTTTTCCAACGTGACTCGGCTGAATTGAAGTGGAGGAGCTTTCGTTGTTCTCAAGTGTCCTTAGTGGATTTTTATCTCGTGAAACGCCGTTGAAGTATGGCCGACGAAAGGGAAAAGCACGTCGGTGAGTGACGTTTCTCACTGTGTCTACTGTCTGTGGGGAAAATAGTGGGTCCGGTTTCAACGACGATGACGACGACGGGGTTTCCGGGAATGCGTCTTCGTAAGAGCGGGGACCACCAGTAACGTGCCCTTTTGTGTTTGTGTGCACCACCTGTGCCCAACTCTGACCAGTTTGACCGCTGTATGTAAACTAAACTATGAAACACATTTTATTTTATTTTACCAGGTAATGCCTACTGAGCTATACAGTTCTTTCTCAGAAGTGACCTGGCCGCAAATGATATCTCAACGAAGTGGTTTATCATCACGTGGAAATTTATAGCATATTGATTCTAAATGTGGAGGGGAAGCACCAGAGCACCAGGAGAAAAGTCCATGCTACCATGGGGAGAGAGACATGCAAACTGCAAATATACACGTTTCAGGGTTGGAATTGAACCCACGACCTCCTGCATACCAGACGAGGGAATTAACAGCTCGCCACCACCCACCCCGTTTCCCCTCCACCAGCACCTGTCGGAGAATCTGGAGGAGTTCTCCCAGGACCTCTTCAACACGCTGTTCGAGGACCCTCTGCTGGTGGACAAGAGCATTCTGATGGAGGTGGACCTCACCCCGGCTCAACCTCACATCCAGGCAGAGCACAGCTACTCCACCCCGCAGTCTCCGCTCGCTCCGCTCAAGCTCGACGACTTTGACCAGGGTGAGTCGATCGGGCTGGGAGGGAGCCTCCATCCCCCCCCTCCCCCCTTGCTCGCCACTGACAATAGCCGCGGCTGGGAATCGGAACTCGGGCGGCAGTGTTCAGAGTTGCGGTGCATCAACCGCCGTGCCACCGCTCGCTGCAGCGCCAACTGCAAGGGTAGCCACGATAATATCGAAAGGAATATATAAATCTCCGCGAGCTTCCCCGTGGTCCTTGCAAGCCTGCAGATTCATTCCCCGACTCTCTTGGCTGGTTTTGGCCACAAGATTTTACTGCTTGGGACCTGGCCCAGGGAATGCTGAGCCAGAGTTCATGAAGTGCCCAGAGTAGCGGCTGCCATGTGGCTCTCTCCTGGAACCTTGTGAGCTTATAAAGTAAGCAAATTCCTCATAATAAGCTTACACTGTAATTGTTATCTCCTACCATAGCAAACATGCAAATTCAATAAAATGATATCAATTCTAAATAAAATAGAATAAGGTAAGAAACGAATAACTTGCAGCCCTGTGTCGGGCCACTGCTAGAAAAAAGTCACCATGCCGGGTCAGCCATGGGTGGTTGTGTGAACATACTTCGCCACTCTGGTTCAGTGCGGGTTGTCGAAGGCAGAATGGGGTAGGCCTAGGACTGGTTCAGATAATCGTCCGTCACCGATGTTGGCTTCGGCCAGGAATTCAACTCGGTTCACTGGGTTCATAGCGCGGCAGGCTCGGCACTTGAACACTCCTAAATGAACAACACAGGAAGGTAATTGCATTTCAAAACGAGGCTATAGTTTTGTCCTTTGCAGTGACATATTTAGTCAATGTAAACGAGATAAACTAAAAGCCCCCAAATTCAATCGTGAGCTCAAACTTTCCGAGCTGGCGATAATGCGATGGAAAATAACTATCTGTGCAGCTTTTTGAGAGTGAAGCGAGCGGAATGTTGGCTTCTAATCCTGCCCACATGTAGGCCTGGCTCTGAGCAAATAATTCTATGCTTGGTGGGATTTCAGTTTGAGATGGGGGATCTCATTATTCTTGGCACGCGGGCACGTTGTCGGTGTCGGCTTCAATTGTGCAGGCATTGTTTGGCCTCTGCTCCACACGTGCGAGCTCTCGATTGAACGCTTTTAAAGGAACCAGTTTGAATTCGGCGTTTTTTGCTTTTGGCGAGAGACGAGGAGAGACGAAGATACCCCCCCGTATGAAATCAACACAGATCAACACAAAAAACTAACGCTTGTTTTGTTGCTGCAATTGAATTACAAATAATTTTATCACACGTCTCATGTGTATGCTATTTATAATATTAGTGTACTGTGTGTGTGTGTGTGTGCCAGTATTGGGCCAATCGTGTGCAAAGAGTCCTACTTAGGAGACTGTTTTTTTGTAAATGGGCACGCACACTCACTTAACATACTCTTGGGGCAAGTGCTGTTAGTGAGTACATATGATAGACGGCACGACTTACGAGAGGGAGACCCACACGCACAAGCTGATTCCATTCTACATTCAAATACATATTTAAATACTGCCCAAATGACGTTCATTCAAATAAGTGCGCAATGCCAATTATTTACACAGGTAAGCTTGGCTGAGTCTCAAGACTCTTTTTTTTTAAAGGAGGAATCCAGATACATTGGGATGCCTGGCCAATTCTGTGCCATTAATAATACGAGGGGGCTCTCTCCCCTTACCCCATGGGCACATAGCCTCGGGCTTGTCGTCCACGAAACAACTTTCCCCTATAGCTTGGGCTTTGTAATTGGCTCTTGTTCAATAATTTTTTTTTTAATGAAGGGCTGATGCTTAACACCACCTCACCGCGTTGGCACACCGATTCATTGCAACTCCTTCAACCAAATAATTTAATGCCAAATCGAGCGATTCATCGCCGTTGGCGTCGCCGCCATCATGATCATCGTTATCTCTGTAAGAAATTCCGCCGCGTGTGTGTAAAAAAAAAATATATCATCTAAAAGTCGTGGTGCTGATAATTTAGTGGATAATAATTGGGAGGAGACGCCGCCGCCACTGAACCGGCGCGGCACAGACACGCGGGCACGCGGAGTGCTGCAAAACCCGAGCCCCCACAGCCGATAGCTCTCCGTCGCCACGCTCGGCGAACTCCACCGAAATTGTGCGGCCGCTGTGGCCGGCTCGGTGCGAGCGAGCTCCCTCGCAGCCCAGCACGGCCAAGCCCCCTGCCCCGTGCAGCACGAGCGTTTGCTGGAGGTGCGGGGCATTTGGCATCACCGCCGCTCAACCTGCACCATATTCTTCGGTGTGAATATAATGTCCCGCGTGTGCGGGTCACACCCATTGCTCTTTTAAAAGGCCTCCGCCGTGCCCTCTGTTTGTTAACGCCCGTTCAGGCGTGACGGGGCCCGGGTGCGGTTCTCGTTTTCATTTTTTTCGTTATCGAAAAAGACAAAGCGTCGGCTACGCGGGGGCGTACCTGCGTGTCTTTACACAGCCTGGACGTTCTCGTGTTTTCATTTTTTTCCGCATGGGAGGTTCACGGTTTGGTGGGCGCTGTCTTTGCATAACCGGATTTGCGTTTGAAAGAATCTCCCAGGAAGGACGCCGCACCTGGCGAGAGCGAGCGAGCTCGTGCCGCGGCTCGGTAACCGCGAGAGCGATGTAGAATGCCGGGATGGGGTGGTGGTCTTGGTGCGGACATGCAGCGGTGACGCCGGTCAGAGTGCGCACAGCTTGTGCACACGAACACAAAAAGTCGCTCACAAACGATTTAACTCGCTTGTTTGCACCATCGCGAACCGCCACCCCACGACCTGTTGTTGCCGTGCTGACGGGCGGCCGCGTCCGGAATGATCTCATCAGCTCGCCGGCCTGCACACCGAGCCGTCCGCTTCCTGCTCCGTGCCCTCATTGCGGCGATCAGATTTCACGGCGGTGCAACGCGGCCCTCGTCGGTCAAATCCGAGAGCGAGCGAGCGACCGGTGGAAGGCCGTCGGTTCCGAACGCGGCCGGCTCCAGGCGTTGTTGGAGCGCTGGGGCCGCCACCGCTGGGGTCGCCACCGCTGGGGCCGCCACCGCTGGGGCCGCCACCCCTGGGGCCGCCACCGCTGGGGCCGCCACCCCTGGGGCCGCCACCGCTGGGGCGGCCACCGCTGGCATCCTGGGCTTTTATTTCGAGTTTCAAACACCAGCGATCGGATGGTCTCGGCCTGGTTTGCCTCTGACTTCACAAAAGAAAAAACATAGATCTAAACGTTAACTTTCGTCACTTCATTTGGCTGTACTTATTCCAGTACTAAGAATAAAAAAAATGGTTTTACTGCCATGCGACAAAATAGTTTTTCTTTGCGGCAGCGGTGTGCGTGGGAAAGCGCTTCCTCTTGCGTGTGGACCACACAAGGCGCTTGAAGCAACCCCACGTGTGATTATGCGATTCCACTTTCTGCCCCCTGTGTTATCGAGCACACAGCACACCGGCTGATGCGCTGTTCTCTGCAGGTCCCATACGGAGTCTGTCTCTTGACTTGACACTGATCAAAACAAATTATCTGGTGATGCTGCTGATGTTGCCGCGTTGACAGTGGTGCAAAAACAAAGCTCAAGACAATAATCAATGACGTGGTGACCTTGAAATAAAAGATTTATAAGCGGCGATGTGTCCTGACATGGCCCTTCTAATTCTCCTTCATATTCTTCCTCCTTCTCCCTCCTCCTCCTTCTTCCTTCTTCTTCACACGTGAATAGAGAGACAGAGTTTATGATAATAATTGGGGGGGATTGGACTTTACATGACAGCGACGGCTCATTCTTGACTACTATTGGAGACGGCGTTTTCTATCTACGTGACTTTGCCGAAAGAACCAAGAATATGAATATAAAAAAAACAAACCTCAACAATTATCTGACACTCGTTTCCAAAAATGCAACCTGGTATCGCAAACCCTCCCGTCCCCCGTGGCAGCCCCCACGGCGGCCTGCGCACGCAGCACCTTCGTAAAAGTACTCGCTGTTCGACCCCGAAAGCCTCGGGTCCAACGGTTGCGTGAGATTGCCGCCCTTTAAACGTGCGGATGACGCGACGGCCCTCCTCCCACCCCACCGGCGACGATCGGACGACGCTTTACGATTCTGCCTCCGCGAGGAATTGTCAGCGTCTCGGGGGCAGGGTGCGGCCTCCACATCGTTTGATTACCGCTCGCGGGCAGCTCCTCCGTCCAGCGCCGCCGCGCCCAGCCTCTCGCGATTCCCTCGACGGCTGGCAGGGGTCGGGGGGTGTTGGGGTCCGCCGTCCCTGATGGCCGCATGCTAATTGAAAATGCCCCCCGTTATTAGCCCGTGGCAATTTTGTTGTCACTATGGGAACACGTGGCTTTTACGTGATTTTGTTTATCATCGGAATTCCGTCAGTGTTGTCGGTGATGTTCTAGCCACTGTTGGATGAAGGCCCCCCCCCCCCACTCCCTCCGCCCCCACCGTGGTGTTTCCGTGACATGCGGTCATGTGCGTCCCACGATCCAACTCGCCGCGGCCCATTAGCTGATGTCATGGCATCGTCTCCACAGTGGACATACTCTCAGTTGGCTTCTCCCTCCTTTGGCGGCCATTCAATCGCCAGTCTCGACCACGGCCATCGTTACTTCTGGTCGTGTATCCTGCTCATGGTGGTGAGATGTTATTTCCCTCGCCTGTTATGCAGGAGGTCGTGGGTTCGATCCCGACCCTGACGATGCCTGAATATTTGGAGTTTACAGGTCTCTCTTCCCGTGGTCGTGTGAATTTTTTTCCGGGTCCTCCGGTTTGTTGCTCCAAATTTAGAATCAACGTGCGTTCAAGATTATTTGACCTGCTATAACTTTCCACATGATAAGCCACTTCGTTGAGCTATCATTTGTGATAGCCAAGTCACTTCTGAAAAAGAGCTATAATTATGGGCCTTACCTGGTAAAAATGAAAATAGCTTAGTTTTTAAATAGATTAGTTTACTTACTCTTTGTGACAGTCAACACAATGTCCCTAATTTGCATTTGTTAAATGGTTTTCTCTTTCGTTATCTCAATGTCGTGCCAACCCTGCGTTCGTTTTTTTTTCTCATTCAGAGTCCACGTGCGTCATCACGGAATGACAAATCTCTCGCACTTCTGCGTGTTGCTCAGTTGGCGTGAGTGTTTTCTGGTGTGTGCGTGCAGCTTCCAGTCCTTGCTATCCCACCCCCACCCACCCATGATACAGCTCTCCGCGATTCACAACCGTCAGGTGCGTGCGGTGCGCAGTGGAAACATTTGCATATGGAAAAAAAACTAAAGATTGGTATTCTTATGAACGAGGCGCCGGTTACGAGATTGATATTCTTATAAACGAGGCGCCGGTTACGAGAACCGAAGTTGAGAAACGTTGATCTCGGTCTCCGAACATGATGGGGGGCACGTGCTAGTAGCTACATTTTGTTCTTGGAGTCAGGATGCAGCTTTCCTGACAATTGCCCCAATCTCGAACGTGTTTGCCATCCTAGGAGCTGTTACTTAAAACCTCCTAATCACAATCCAGGCTTCATTAGTGTCCAAATAGCAACCACGCTTGGCTGGAATCCCGTCGCCAACGAGACCGGATTCCTCGCATTCCTGACCGGACTGCTGCTCTGTCGATTTTGTTCGTTTGAACGATGAGCCGTGGTGTATGTCTCCTAGCCCGAGGAGGGACCTCATGCGAAAAGCGACAGCTTTGCTGGGACGCTCGACCAGAACACGTGCTGAGGCTGACTGTCCCTCCGTCTGTCAGTGCCTCCCCCCTCCCGACAACCTTTGAACAGCCACATCCACTCCATTAGCAGCACCGCCGACACAGCGAGCGGTTTCGCCACTCTCCGATACTGCTTTGGCAGTGGTGTACAGGCGCAAATAAACAAAAGTAAACTCAACACGCTCGTCAATAAAACCGTGGCCTTAAAGGGAAACATATATATAACAGGCGTACCTTATACCGGAGTTGGTAGTGCCTTATGCTAATATTCCCGACCACCAAGCCGGCCCTAGCGACGCTCATGTGTACATATGGCGAGTGAGAAATGAAGCCGTGTACTAGAGACCCTTGGTTGGCATGAGGCCAGGAGCATGGCGCACGCCAAACAGCGTGTCCAGGTGCGGCCTCCACTGAGCGAGCGCTCTCACGCCTCCCCCGTTGCACGCGGCTCACGTTTGCGCGCACAGCCACTCGGCCGCTCGCCCTCCACGCGGCGCCGAGAGACGCGAGTGCAGACAATGGGGCCTTTCACGCAAAACCTGGGGGCAGCCAGGCTTCGAAAAATAGTGTTTTTTGACATTTTTTTTCTAAAAAATAAATCTATACATTTTTTGACATTTTGACTGCGCCGGCGTGGGCTGCGCCGCGTCACGCGCCCCGGCCGCGCGCCACCACCGCTCCCGCTCCTTGGGCCGGTGCCGTGGTCTTTAAGGAGAATGGTGGATGACGTAAATAAACGTCGCTCACGTTTCGCGTTCGCACCCCCCGGACGCTCGGCAGTTAAAAAGCAGGAAGGTCTTGGGGCGTTGGCCGCGTGGCTTTATTGAGTCGCTGCTCCGCGTGGAATGCGCCCGGTCTCGTCGGATCCCAGAAGGGGCCTAGCCTGCATCGTGCACGACTGGCCGGGCCGTCGTAAAAAAAAAAGTGTTGTTCTTTATTAATCAAGATTGTGGAGCTGCACTGCGTGGGCAGCAAGAGGGTAGGTGCGGCAGAAACCATCGTTGCAGCATATGTCTATGCTCCCCGCCTTTGCCGATCCCTGCTGCTGACCAGCGTGAGGCTATAGTCAAATCGTCTTCCTCCCCCCCCCCAACGACCTGTGCGGTGTGCCCGATGCCTGCATCCCTGATCCAGCAGTGGATTGACCCGAAGGGCTGTTACGAGCACGCGTACGTACCGGACTGCGCGGGACGTATTTATTTATTTTGGACGGCGAGAAAACGTGACGTGCAGTCCGCGCCGCCGCTGCCACTTTGCTGCTGCTGCTGCTGCATGCGATGAGTGGCACAAAGGAGTGGCGTTGTTGCCGCGGAGGAAACGCTTCCCTCCCGGGGTGGTGGAGCTGTCCTCGTCGATGGAATTTGCTTTTTTTTTTGCCTCTCGCCTGGGTGGGGAAATCGCCGGGTAGCGCAAAGTGAGAATTTTGTGACACGGTCGCAAAACCCCGACCTACCCTTGCAAACGCAGCTGTGTGTGGTGGGGGGTGGGGGCAACGGCGGATTTGCCAACTCCTTTGAAAGTGGAAGGTTGGGGACGTGAACATCACGAGGTGTCGCGAGATGTCGCGAGACAGACCTACCAGTGTTCGAAAACTGTCGCGAGACCATCGATCGAGCACGATGCGAAGTACGTTGATACGGGATCCTTAATGCGTACCTGGAATCGTGTCGCCGGACACAATTTACCAGGTGTTAGACATCGTACACCAATACAGGATCCTTAATGCGCACCTTGGAATCGCTCCTAAATCTGCACAATGCTGTCTGCGGTGAATAACAAACAATCAAAAAAGCCTCAACAAAATATACTGTGGCCTTAAAATGAAAGAATATACGGTGTATGCAAAAGGCATTTTAGGCAATGGCTCTTCTTCATAGCACATCGAGAGAGTGGCCGGAGAGACGGGAGCGGATAATGAGAGCTGGAGGCTGCTACTCGTTTACTCCATGGGGCATGATGAGAATTACGTAAAAAAATGTTGTTTTTAAATCGGCAACAAACAGTAGCTATTGAGTTTACCGAAGACAAGCGCTTCATACGTCACACAAAGTATCGCCAAATAGACGCGTTCATCCTGAAAGTCAAATGATAAAATGTCGACGGTCGCTATATTCGTCGGGAGGCACTTCGACAAAAAGTTGTCGTGAGGGAAACCCCCCCCCCCCAAAAAAATTGTTAAATTATTACAACAAAAACCGTTAAGTTGGCACCAGTGGAGCAGCAGGGGTGGATGGTGGAGTGACAGAGGGCAGCAATAGCGGGGTGGAGGGGCGTGGGGGGGGGCAGAGGGTCTGGGCAGCGACGGGTGGCCAAACAACACCGGCGGGAGAGGGGGTGGGTGACACGTGAGCGGTGGGTGACAGGATCTGAGCGAGGGACAGGATCTGAGCGACTGCATGCGTTTGGCACCGAGTACACAGCAGACTCCCCTTTCATATCGGCACTGTGCCCTCCTCCTGTTTGCACGCGGACACAGACACCACAAAGGGATGGGTCAGCGGTTGTGCGAAGTCGAGCCACGGATCTACAAGGCATGTCAAAATTAAAATAACAACAATAATAATAATGTTATTATATTGTCCATAATAGAGGGGGGTTTGTTTTGGGTTAGATCGCGTAAATATAAATGTGTCGTTAAACCCGCCACCACCACCCGACGCAGCCAATGAGTCAGGTTTGTCACGTGAACAAACCATGCCAATTGTATGCTATTATTATGACGATAATTATGGGTGATATCGATAGTTTGAGTGTTCCCAATAGTTTGAGTGTCGCGAGCCTTGCCCCTCTTTCCGCTCGGGGGAGGGGGGGGGGTAAACTCTCGATGAGCATCAATGGAGAAGATTACGACGAGGATGACGACGATGATGATGATGATGATGTTTCTCCGGCGGCGGTGCTCATGCTGGAACGTCGATGGTGCTTGTGGGATTGGCGACGTTTTGTGTGCGCCCTGTTTTCCGTCGCGCGGAACGATTCGACGCGCTACATCTGTGAACGCAAGTCGTTTTTGCGCAAACTCGCCACTCGCGAAGGAAAGAGTCTCGCCTCAATGGACCCCCCCCCCCCCCCCATGCATGTCAAAAGACAACACGTGTAAGGGGCGACGTTTCGGGCAATGGCCCGTCTTCATGGCACGCCATATCGTATTGTTTAATCGCAAAAAAAACGAAAGACAAACAGTGCAAATAAAAAACGTAAAAAAAGTTGGTGCAGGTGAGGTTGGAAACCCAAGAGGGTTTATTTAGAAAACCACACCAAAAAAAAAGAACTATGTGTATACAAAATTGATTGATCAATCAATTATTGTTTTATATTTTTATTATTTTGTTTCCCTTCTACGTGACTTTACTTATAGAACCAAGAATATAAAGCATACTAATTTCAATTAAACATGTTAAACTCGGTGTTCAAAAAAACATGTTTGTTATTGCGTGCGTATGTGTGTGAGAGTTGGCATACATGGAGGAGACTGCTGGGTAGTTTGCCTCATCAGGCTAACCCGTAGTCTATGCTTGAAGTTATTGAAAGATGATGATACACTGAGATTTCAGAAAGGTGGATGAATACAGAGAGCTGCTTTTGAACAAAATGCATTGAGGCCTCCGGTCAATGTGGTCTTGGTTGTCATCTTGGTTCTGGTATTGGTTGAGGTAGTTGCCGGGGGGAGGGGGGGGGGTGGCGTCGGGCAAGCCCCGGGGTCAAACTTCTGACCGCACGCTTGTTTGCTTGCTGTCGCGCTGACGCTGTCGACGGTGCAGACCTGGAGGACGGCGTGTGGGCCCTGGGAATGGAGCACGCTCGTGCTGCCACCTTCAAGCCGGAGCCGCTGCTGCCGTCCGACAGCATCGAGTTCGACGCCCCCGCCGCCGCCGCCACCGCCGCCACCGCCCTCCCGGACTTCACCGCCGCCTCCGCCGGCACGCAGATGCTCGCCACGCCGGCGCCGCTCCCCCAAGCCGGGCCGTTCAACCAGAACTGCAAGAACGTCGCCGGCAGCGGCAACAACAACAACAACAACGGCGGCGGAGGTGGAGGTGGCGCGATGGCCGCCCAGCACACGAGCGGCGGCGGCAGCGCGGCCCCCGGCACCAGCGCGGGCTGCGGCGCCGGCCACGGCAACGGCAACCGAATCGGATCGCCCGTCCCCACCAACGTGACGCAGGTAGACGCGGGCGAGGCGATCCGACGGGGTGCATGGTGCGAGCGAGTGGGTGGGGAGAGAGCCCCCCGCTTGCCCTCGGTTGAGAAAGATAGCGGCTCGCTGTTTTTCGCGAGAGGAGCGCGGCGAACGTTCGTCCCGTTGGGGAACGGTGGGGGGGGGGGGAGGGGGGGGGCGGCTTCGTCCGCTGTAGCTTTGCCGTTAGAAATGTAGCGAATGGGTTCGCAGTTTTAGTTTGTGGAGTTGTGGAAAATGTCGATGCGTGTTGGAGGACGAGAGAAGTTTTGACCGATATCTCTTGCGCAACATTTTCGGTGCCCTTCTCCTAAATGCTCCCCTGTGCGAGGCTCAACGAAAATTATTCATTTTAATCCTAGCCGTGTTGTGATGATGGTATTAATTATCATAAAAAGTGTTGTTGTTGATTATGATAATGCCAATAGTGAAGATGATGACGATGTTGGTGATATCTGTAATGATGATGACGACGACGATGATGATGATGATGACATCGATGATGATATTTACGATCACGACAATGAAGATTGGCCGATGATGATGATGATGACAGAAGCGTGTTGCATTGTTTCAGACCAAGCCGTGCCCGCCCAAAGTGTTGCCAAAGATCAAGATTGAGCCGAATGACGTGGAGCAGTTCCTCAGCGCCAGTGCAGCAGGTGAGGGGTGCCACGGTGGTGAGATGTTAACTACCTCACCTGGTATGCAGGTCGTGGGTTTGATCCAGACTCTAATGCGTTGATATTAGGAGTTGTCTCGGGGTCCTCCGGTTTTTCCTTCCACATTTCAAAATGTGCGCTGAGGGCATTTGGCCGCTAGAAGTTTCCACGTGAAAGCCACTTTGTTGAGGTATCATTTGTGGCCAGGTCACTTCTGAAAAAGAGCTACATAGCTCAGTGGGGCCTTACCTGGTAAAAAAAATATATGCCTAATTTGTATTCCCTTCCTATGAGTGATGCTGTAGCTATTGCCACTCAGCTCTCAGGCTCTGAGGAATCGACAATTAGCCAGAGTGGGCTCAGGGGAGATAAGTTAATCCGACTCATTCCCACACGCGCGCGCATGCGCACACACGCGCGCGTATAATCCATTGCAGGTAGAACAATGCTTCGTGTGATATGGCGAGGTGCTCTGATCCGAAGAGGAATGCTCGCGTGTGCACGTTCGCCAGCGTCGCTGGGTTCCGCTGCGCGCCCCCGGGGTTGTTTTGTGACGAGCGAGCGACCCACACACACGTTTCCATGGAGACGCAAGGCCCAATGCCTGGCTCGCTCATTCTAATTGAGCCGGGCTCCGGCTGTAATGGCTTTTATCGCCTTTTTGCCGTCGCCACAGAGAAATTCTGTAATTCTCGAGGAGAGAAGAGAAAAAAAAAACAAAGCAACGCCTAAATTTATTGATTATAGTTAAGCGCGTGTGTGGTATTTATTTTGGACTTGGGCTTCCAAAATGGCTTTGTGACAAGAGGACAATAACGCGTGAGAGTGTGCGTGCGTTTTGGCGGCGGTTAATTTTTGTTAATGCAATTCGTGAGGCAAAATATCGTCAACAAAGTGTGTGTTTTTTTGTTGTTGCAACGTTAACCGTGCGATGGCAGTGGCTACACAACCACCCACACCAAAGACCGAAGCGTGACTGGCTGCGACGAGACAAAATTACTGCAGATAGTCTGAATGAACACGCAGTCGAAGACACATTACGAGCATTATTAGAGGATGCCTCGCACCGAGGAAAAGCAATGGGGGGTGGGGTGATGGGGGGGAGAGAAATTGCCCGCCCCTCGCACTGACATTTAATGAAGGTCAAGCCAGTTTTTTTAAAAGATATTTTTTCACGAGAGTATTTTACCTGGGGGGCTCCCGCGAGGGTGTCCCTTCCCGTGGGTGGGGGCGTTCGTTGACGAGACGGGGAGACGAGAGACGAAATTAAATCGGCAGACTGAGACTTGGGTAAACTTTCACATGACGTCATCGGCTAGCCCCGTGGTTTTTAACCTTTACTGCAGCCTGCAACCTCGGAAAGGGCATCTCGCACGCCCAGGACGTGTGTGCACCCCAGGTTAAGAACCACTGGACTAGACTGATACAGAAAGAAAGAAAAAAACGGACTAATTGTAATTGGTTGTACCATAGCGTGGCATTAAAAAAGAAACAATTCCCCCCATGTCTTACGATGACACTATGCTGTTCTTACAGTATCAACGCACGGACATTCTCACTGGCAAAATAAAGCGGATGTCGAGTGAAACGTGCAGTGTAGCGATCCATCGCGGGTTGACGTGAGATGTGTCCGAGGGGCCACAGCAGTGCAGTTGAACATTTACATCACGGACGCATTGCACGCACAGCGTCCAGTTCATTGGGGTGATGTTGCATGCTAACCTGCTGCATGTGATGCGAGTGTTGGCGGGCAAATTGAATCCTCACAATTATAGATGCACGATGGAGTTGAAATAAAATCATTTGTCCTTAAAATGTGGGCACCATCTGAAAGGAATGTTTAATTTCATTTTACTGCTCTGCAGACTTCCTCCGTTGTGCTGCGCTTTGGGGGTCGTGCCGCGCGTCCTTCAGGCGATTCGCTCCGTCTCAATTATTTTCAGCTCCTGAAGAAGCTCCCAGCGCACGGAGCGAAACGTCGGGACATCCCTAGCTCTCCGTTGCGTTTTTGGGTTGTGCCACGTGTCGTTCGGCACGACGTGGAAAATCCTAAGGGCACCGTGCCGAATAACCCGAAAATGCAGCTCAGAGCTGCGTGGGTTTGTTTTAAAAAAAATCTACTAAAGATGGTGCGCACGCGCGCCCACGTGTACACGTGCCCACGTGTACACGTGCCCACTTGTACACGTGCCCACGTGCACGCGCGCCCACGTGTACACGTGCCCACTTGTACACGCGCCCACGTGCACGCGCGCCCACGTGCACGCGCGCCCACGCGCGTCGGTGTAATCGCGCACACGCGTGCCGCTCGTCAAAATTCCGTGCGTCTGCCTTCTTCTCACCCTCCCTCACCCCACACTCTGTGCCCCCCCCACCCCCCCCCTCCCAACAGCGCTGGACAGGGTTCACCTCCCGCCCACGCCCCCCAGCAGCCACGGCAGCGACAGCGAGGGCTCTCTGAGCCCCCGCTCGCTGCCCCCGTCCAGCCCCGTGCGGGGGGGACAGCCGGGCCTGAAGGCACCGGCACGGGGTCCCTCCTCCGCCCTCTCCAACACGACGCTGCTCACCGCTCCCCACGTTAGTGCCGCCCCCCTCGAGCGTCCGATGATACCTGGGGGGGGAGGGTGTGCGGTGTAACCAGCGATCTGTTTTAGTCTGGGACGGGAGTTATTATGGCGCCAGGCCGCATCCATCTCTCGGCTCATTCTGCCCTCGTCGGGAACACATTGGTCAATGGCGTTGTGCGGCCTCAAGAAGAAATATATATAATTGGTGACGTTTCAGGCAATGATCCTTCTTTATACCAAGTACAAAAATTCAATGTGCTATGAAGGGGCATTACCCAAAACGTTAATTGTGGCTACTCCTACCTCTTGCAAAACATCTGTCCAGCATGGAAGAGTAGGCCAAGAACCTAGTGAGCAGTTAATTACGTGTCCATCGGCCGATGGGTTTGGCGATATTTAGTCATCATTCCATGATCAATCCACTGCTGGAAAAAGCCATCAGTAATTTGGTAGTTAAAGCCCTCCTTGTCATTATGCACGTTTATTATCAGTCGCGTGCCGAAATTAAACTCGTTTTGGAAACTGCGACTTGTGATTTGGCTTCACAAATCTTGTATATATAAGTTCGTTCGTTCGTTCATTCGTTCCTTTTCTCAGTTCGCTTTTCCTGCTGCGGCCATATATTTCAGTTGTGCAAGTATATTTTTATATCACATTTAAAACCGGTACTGAAATAACAACGGAGAGTTTGGCATCGGCCATCGGTGGTGGCGAAACAGTCGAGAGAAGGAACTGAATCTACGGGGGGGGGGGGAGGGGGTGACGGGGGGGGGGGGGCGACAGGGTTGCGAGGGGGGATGAGGGGTGGGGGTCATCGGGCAAAAAACTACAACAGCCTTGGAGGAGGCACCCCCCCTACTCAAACTTCGTCCGGCCTTAACAGAGTGGCGCTGACACGTACAGTTGCACGTTGAACTCCCTCTCACACCATGTCACGTAGCCGACCCGTGCTAATCGGGGGTGCGACCGTTTGCAGAAGCTGCAGGGAGCCGCGGGTCCCCTGATGTTGACGGAGGAGGAGAAGAGGACCCTGATCACGGAGGGGTACCCCGTCCCCACCAAGCTGCCCCTCACCAAGGCCGAGGAGAAGGCCCTCAAGAAAATCAGACGGAAAATCAAAAACAAGGTTGCTCGCCCACCCACGCTGCCACCGCTCGCCGCTCGTTGCCGCTCGTTGCTTGTTGCTTGTTGCCACTTGTCGCTTGTTGCTCGCCGCTTGTTGCTCGTTGCCGCTCCACCGCGGTGAAAGCGTTTTGCTTTTGCGGAGGGCCGTGTGCCACCGTCACTTTCCAATTTTTTACCGAATTAAAGAAATCGGCCCAAATTTTGTTTGAAATAGCCTCATCCGCCTCCCTTACTTGGCAGACTAAGGCCCCATTCGCAGAAGGGTCCTGCATTCGCCTCGCGCCACGCAGGGACAGCTGCCACCGAGGGTGGGGAGAAGGGGGGGGGGGGGTGGTCCCTTGGCAAAACTGCAGCAGGGAAGTACAGATCATCTCACCCATTTTAAAAGGGAGAAAGGCATGAAGTTGGTCACTGTGTATCTTGGCCGTTTTGTCACAGCCATGGGTCTAAAACTGTTTGTTTATATTTTTGCAGCAGCCATAGATTTCGATAAAAAAATGAGTCGTCGAGTAAAAGTTCAACGTTACACCCTGTTAGACTGCTCTTAAGGCGCCATGGTTGAAGCACCAGCTCCCCACTTTGTTGTTACATTTTGTGGTGTTATTTATTTATGAACGTTGTGGTTCTATTTTTGTTTTGCGATCGCGTGCCAAGGTATGCATACTTGACTTTGCGCAATAATAATGAAAATAAATATCTCACCAGAATTTTGGCCGACTCCTTGTCGAACCAGGTTTATATTTCTTTTTCCCGCTTAGTGTTTCGGGTTCGTTCAGCTTGACCGTCCGACAGTTTCTCTCCGCGTGCTGGGAGCTTCTTCAGGACCTGTTCATATTCGGGTTCGGTTCCTGGAGAAGCCCCCAGCAGATGGAGCGAAACGTCGGATGCCGCCCCCCCCAAAAGGACCCACACGCGCCGTGGTACATCCCGAACGTGCTCCGGAGAGCCGTACAGCGACGGCTGCGAAAACGAACGTTGACCGTTTTAATACCGCTTAATTTTTTTTGTCATGTTTGCGCCGTTCAGATTTCAGCACAAGAAAGCCGAAGGAAAAAGAAAGAGTACGTGGAGTGTTTAGAGAAAAAGTGAGTGCGTTCATTCGTCACATTTTTCGGACAAGGCCGTTTGCACTACAGCGACTGGAATCGACGTGGGGGTGGCTTTGGGAAAGAAAGAAAAAAACACATTTTTATTTTCTTTGACTCTTTCGGTAAAGTCACGTAGATAGGTTCAAAGAAAATAACAAAATTCTACGACGTTTTGATCGCAACACAAGCGGTCGTCAGTGAGCTCGCCATGGAGGCCGCTCACCGATCTTACAATCTTATTTTTTTTTTACCTGGCAGCCCTTTAATTGGTGGAAAACCTACCACTTACATTAACATAAAATGCCCCGCCCATGCTACTGCCATTTAGGCTACGCCCATTTCAAAAACCTTCATAAACAGTTTGCCTTCAGAAGCTAACCCCCTTTTCCTGATGACGACCGCTTGTGTTGCGATCGAAACGTCATAGTTTTTTGTTATTTTCTTTAAACCTATCTACGTGACTTTACCGAAAGACCCAAAGAATATGAATTCCTGCAGTCACAAGAGCTTTAAGTCAACATTTAAACTTATTTTATTTTATTTGACCAGATAAAGCCCAATGAGCTACACAGCTGTTTTTTCAGAGGCTACCTGGCCACAAATGATAGCTCAACGAAGTGGATTATCACGTGCGGCAATGTATAACAGAACAGCCAAATAATCTAAACTTGTGATGTTCATTTTCAATGTTGAGGGGAAAACCAGAGGGCCCGGAGAAAAATCTACGGCCTTCCGCATACCAGGGCGAGGGAGATACCATTTATCCACTGAAGCACTTAATCAGATAAGATCAGAATATTTATAATGGAGGAATCCGATGAGCTACTAAGCTCGTTTCACAGATGTCCAGTATTTGTAGCAGTGTATAGATCATGGCCTACGGTGATGATGACGACGACGATGGTGATTTTAAACAAACCGCCAAAGCTTGTGAGTAATTGTGGGCGACCGTGTCCAGTTGAGGGGCCCCCACCAGCAGCTGGCCTCCGCCATGAAACATTAACCTCCCATCGTTGCCCCCTCCCTGGTCCCGGACCCACCCCCCGCACCCCAACCTCCCCAGCCCCCTCCCCTCTCGCTGTGACGCGCGCTATCTCTCTGCCGGCTCCGCTAATGGAAAAACAGATCCGGGCTCGCAGTGGAAAGAGCACGCGTGCGCACGCGTGTGCCACGCGTGTGCCACGTTACCCTTAGCTTCTAAACATATTTAAATACCGCGGCGGCGAGATTGTGGGAAATGTGGCCCGGTCGGCAGATTTGGGAAACGCTAACGTGCAGGTCAGGTTTTGTGTACCCGAGGGCTTTTTCCCATAAGTGACCCAATGCTAATGGGGCGGTGTTTCTTTCCGAGAAGCACTCGCTTTGCCGTGACCCGCCCCCCCCCAACCCCCATGTGTGATAATAATCCACTGCTGGATGAAGGCCTTCCCCACGCCGTGTAAGGTCACAGAGTTCGTTTGACCGTACTTCGCCACTCTGCTCGGTGTGGCTCAGGGGCCGGTCCAGGTATCGGACGGTTAGCCCATCGCCAGGAATCGAAATGGGGTCGCCAGGTTCGCGGGTGCTTTGCGATATACACCGCAGTGTCACTGCTCCACTCGACATTTGTGTATCGTACCATATTTTCATTACTCGGGCCTCGCTTAATCTCAAACGGGCTCTCTCAATCGTTGCAAATAAAAGTGTCTCCTGCGTCTGGACGTGTCCCCTTCAAAATAAGTGAGATGAATCAAATATATTTAGAAACATCCTTCTTGCCCTGCCTACAAATTGTATCCCGATTCCATCATCAAAATGTACCAGTTAGATCGAGCAAATTACTCACGTGAGTATATGGACGCCCTTATTGCAAATAAGCCTTGCGCATAGCTTTGCGTGGAATCACTTGGAAGAATTTACACAGATTCCTAAAAGGTTTTTTCACTTATTCGCCAGGTCGGCCGTGAGCTTTGATCTCTTTGCTCTTTGCCTTCTTCCTGTTGTTCCAGCCGGCCTTGGCCACATTAAACACTCAAACCAATGTTTACCGATGGATGTCGAAAACGATTGTTTGCGAGGTTGCAGTTGTGAGGATTTTAAGCCAGGAGCTCACTGGTGGTGTTACGTCACTGTTGTTTGACAGACGCACTCACCCCTGGAGCCACCAGCAGGCCCTGCACGGGAATATTAAATCTCCGGCTCGGTGGTGGTACAACTCCTGAGTTTACTGCCTGCATTCGATGCGACAGACGTTGGCTAATCATACTCAAATCATCGTCTTAATTTGCTATTACGTTAAACAAGCACACCTGTGTGAAATGTCAAACGCGCTTTGTTTCAATAATAACAATCTCACAGCCCTATTGGAAAATTCACTGCTGGATGGTGAAGTCCTCCCAATGCTGTGTTAGTCATGGAGGTTATGGAACCATACTTCACCACGCAGGTTGAGGAATAGGGGGTGGCGGGTGGGACATGAGGTTCCGTAACCAGGTGGTGAGAAGTCAAGAGACCAGGATAGAGCCTGGGTCACCAAAATAACAATGGCAAAAAAAACGAGCAATGACATAAGGAAATCGGAAACCCCCCAAAAAAGTAACGAATAAAAAACACTATCACACGAGGAATCGAAAATATTGTTGACACAAATCACCGTTAGAGCGAAGCTAAACGCTAAATTCGCCGCGGCGCAAAATCAGCTTGGGCAGCGGTTGGGATAATCGCCACTCGTGTGAGCTATGGCCGGAAACCGAGCTACGATGTTTGGGTTCGTAGCGCAGCGTTGCTAACCCCTGCGGCAGCGCTCCCCGCCATTCCTAAAGTGCGCGTTCTCGTAATGGTTACTCGTTTATAATCGGATCATCGGTACATTTGATATCGGCACTGTCATCATTCTTCTAGCGCGAAGGAGGGCGCTGCTGCTACGTTACACCAACGCAGTCTGCAGGAGTTTCACACCAGGGCGGTTATGTTGCTATCTTCGTCGTCTTCCTCGTATGGATGTAGGTGTTGAGCAACAGCTGTAATTTTACACCGAAGCCGTTGAGCCGGATAATTGCGTGAGGAGTGGCGGAGTGGTGAATCGCCGTCACGATGCCTCCTCCTTCATATTTGTGTATCGATCGTTGAGTCGCGATACGATCCTTGGCCTGTTCTGGAACCCCCAGACTCCGCACACAGGAGAGTTTTTTTTAATGTTCCAATTTCCCATCAAGTTTCCACAACTGTTGCCCGCCGCCATGGTCTGTGTGCGGATGCGGTTTGGGGGTTGTGGCCCGCCAGAGACTTTGCTGAAGATCAGGGCCAGAGATCTTGTGCGTTTGGGGGTCTTTCACGAGGTGATTCTTCCCGTGGCCTCGTGTTGCCGTATGCGGGATCGCGACCGAGCAATTAGTAAATTTGCTGTGTCGTTTCTCGCCCCGCCTTGTTCCGTGCTTTTAGAGTGGAGAACTGCGCGTCGGAAAACAGCGAGCTGAGAAAAAAAGTGGAGACGCTTGAGACTGCAAACAGGTACGATCCGGTCGCTCGCGCCATTGGCCAAGCCACTCGCCATGTGACACTCTCGTAGCTGGCAAAGCATTCTGTGAAAATGCAGGCGAGGTAAAGATGTAATTAATCTCCATTCTGTCTCTCCGTATATTAATAATAAAAAAATGTGCGAGTCCATCGGCCTGTTGGCTTGCACATTTTCACACCCTCCCTCTTCCACAAAAAGAAAATCAAGCCTTTGTGTCAAAAATACAGCAACTATGCGTTTGTTTGTTTCTTTGCTTGAAACAAATGAAAACGGCCGTTCTGCTCGTATTTGCTATCACCCATGGTAACTCCCCATGGGCAGCAAGAGCAACGAGTTCGTGCAGAGGTCATTTAAAAAGCGACTGTCCAATGAAGTCAGTCGAGTCTTCAAGTTAAATCTACGCTGCTATGTCAGTGCGATAGCGTACGCTATCGCATTGGCCCTCTGCACACGTCACGACTGTATTCATGTTTTGTCTCCTCGGTGCATTCGTTCATTTCTATCGATGAGATTAAGAGTATATCCGGATTATTCGAGATTCATAGAAACAGAGGCGGGGCGGGGGGGGACCGCTGTTCTCGAGAAGGGCCCCCCCTCCCCCGCGCCTGGTGAAGGAAATAATTGGCACGTTTGTGTTGTTTATTTATTTTGGGCCGCTCATTGGCGTTCCATTTTACGAGCAGTCCGTCGCGTTTTCACAACGCCTCTCCCCCCCCCCCCGCAAACGGGGAGGCAAAAGCCTTTGCGAAACGAATACAGCAAAACGATGAACAACGCATGAATACCGCGATTAGTCCAATTGTTAAGCGGCACGCAATGGAGGCTTAGAAACATCGTCCCCTGCGCCAGAGCAGAAATTCGGTTACCCTGGAGGTGGCAGATATTTAGCGACACCAGTCTGTATCTACGGCTCAGAGAGAGGGTTATGGGATCATGTACCTATTAACCAAGTTTATCGCATAATTCATCTCTCTTATTGGCGATTTTAAAGACGTTGGCACGACGCAACTCAAGCTTTGCCATCGCGGGTAGGAGCAGCGAGTAAAACCCTTGGCCTGGGGGCCCACGGAGTAACGAATGGTGGGGAGCTCTCCGGTTTCTGTTTCGCAGCTGGGGGGGGGGGGGGGGCGGGGGTTGTTGCAGGGGGGGGCAGGGGGGGCGTCAGGCCACAATGACCTCATGATGACTGGGTGTGGGAGAGTACACGCCCGTCCGTGGGCCCCATTACGGGCACAATCCGCCTGTGTCTGGCATTTCGCCGTAATGCCTTCCATATGTCCAGGGGTAGCAACTGGAATTGGAGGAGAGGCGGGGGGGGGGGAATCCTCAGTGCGACGTAGTTTAGTATTTGACGAGGGTGTTTGAATACGCGGAGTAAAAAAAAACACCCACGTTTGGTTGAGACGACGTGGCGCTAATACAGCGTGAAGCCGGGCCACAAAGTTACATTAAAGATTTGTACCACCACATGGGAAGTCGAAGAGTACTCAGGTTACCCTGTAGACCGGTGGATCTTCACCTGGGGTGCACGCACCCCCTGGGGGTACGAGATGCCCCTTTCTGGGCGTGCGAGACGTGGCCAGATTTGTTTAGAAGGTAAATAATCAGAAACACAAACTAAGCACGGGCACAAAAGTTACAACTACTTTGTTGCATCAAAGCCTTTGTATTTATTAACATAATATATACGTATATAAAGAAAAATTACGATTGAGAACCAAAGCTGTACGAGGCTGCAGTAGAGGTTAAGAACCTCTGCTGCAGACAGACTAGCTTCCTCCATGTGTACGTGGATTTTCCTGGCAGGAGCCATCGGCAGTGGGGGGGGGGGGGGAACGAGAGCTGGCTGGAGCGTCCTAAGGTTGCCATCGCGTAAAGACGCAACGTCGTCGTCGTAGAAAAAGAAATCTCGTCAAGGCCCTGCCAGAATGCGAATTACAAAACCCACCCCCTTAGCCTCTTCTCCTGAGCTCTGAAGCCGCCGAGCGCATTTTCTCATGCGGGGGCGCCCCCCCGTGGCGACACGAGAGACGCGCGCACAGTGGGAAGGCGGCTCATGTGGCACCGATGGTTTCTTCTGGCTGAAGTTGAAAGCGCCGTCCGTCCGTCCATTCGTCGTGCTCGGGACAGAGGGGTTACGCGGTTTAGAAGGTGGAACGCTCTGGCCAATTAAACGTCGAGCCCTACTGGCCACTAAAACTATCAAGCCACTGACTGTTACATCCCTTATGGCCCCGAGCAATTACCCTAAACTGAACCAACGAGCCCTCCCATTGACCCTAACCACCATAACCAACTAGCCAAGTAGCCAATTTGGTACGGGCCGTCCTAATAACCCTGACCTTCTACTTAACCAGCGACAAATGCTTCCACAAACTGTAACCAACGAGCTCCAAGTGCTTACTGGTCCTCCTATTGACCCAACTAAGTTACCCTGTCGCCAGCACTCTACAAGCCCTGCCTCGAACTCCAATCAACTGCGCAATTCGACACTAATAGCAGCCCTGCCGTTGACTCTAACCACCGGTACCAGCTCTGCCCAATCCATCCGGCCAACTATGACCACAAGTACTCGTCGTCCCACTGGCACCGGCCCCTCCCGTTAACCTCCCATTAGCACGGTAGGCTACGTACGGTGCGAAAGAAGTTCAACGTACAGCACGCACTGACTCACCCTTACCACCGTAACTCTGCCGGGGTGTTTTAGTTTGCTGTTCCGGGGCGGCGGTGGCGGTGGCCGTGGCTTGACGCGTCTTCTCGTTCCGCCTCTACCCCCATCCCCACTCCCCCCCCCCCCCCCCCCAGGTCGCTGCTGCAGCAGCTGCAGAGGCTCCAGACGCTCGTCGCGTCCAAGGTTCCGAGGCCCGGAAAGGTGGCGACGACCCAGACCAGCACGTGCCTCATGGTAGGCGATGCCGTTCCGCCCCGGCACAGGCACCCACGTCGCGCCTTGCCGCACGCGGGGCGGCAAGGCGCGACGATGTCGCTCACTGGATGGGGGGTGGCGAGTGGAGCGGTGGCGCTGCGTTTAGCACGCCCCGCTACGACCCGAGTTCGATTCCCGCTCACGGCCGCCAACGCCGGTGACGATTATCTGAACCTGGCTCCTGAGCCTCCCCTAGGTCCACTCAGCCTTCAATGAGTACCCGGTGTGTGAACATCGTCGCTGGGGTAGACAAAGGCGGCCGAGCGTGGTGCTGGCCCAGCCCCCCCCCCCCCCTCTTCTTGGTTGCCGTGCGAGCCTTCATAGGTGCTCATTATAACAGCACTTGCCCCAAAGTCTGTTAAGGCTATACGGGGGAGCCTTGTCTTTGTTTGGGTAGGTGGAGTCGCGGACGTTGAGTAGGAATGAAGTAGCGTCTACTGTGTGGGAGGAGCTGCAGCTGAGGGTACAGGAAAGAGAAGCAGCTTCGTTTAAAACGCGAACAAAAACATCCCAGTGCTGCAGTGTGACCTACTTATTACTTGGTGTGGGATCACTCGCAGCAGCAGGAGGAGCAACAGCAGCAGGAACATCGCCCTCTGCTGCGAAAAACTTGGCGAGACCCACTCGTGAAAAAAAGAGTCTCTCGACACTCAGCGAGGCTCACCCTGAGTAAACAAGCGGCTCGACAACAAGAACAACAAGAACAATCACCAAGAACAAATAACAAGAACATCAACGAATAACAAAGCAGGGACATTCGCCGAGATGGAAACATGCGTTTAGATTATTTTTTGCTGCTGTAAATTTCCACGTGAGAAGCCACTTTTTTGGACCTTCATTTGTGGCCACGTCGCTTCTGAAATATAAAGCGAATATCTCGGTGGGCTTTAGCTGGCCAGATAAAAAAATAATTTAGCTTGTTTTACCTGTCTTTTTTAAGTGATGTATTTGTCTATATTTTAAAGTGATTTGGTTACCTTTCCTATATTTTGCACTCCCATCGTGTTTTTGTATTGTCTCTTGTTGTAAAGTTGCGATCTCTTCCGCTAATGGACATCGGTGGAACAAGAGCTTTATAGCTCCTCGGATTCCTCCAGTATAAAATACTGATTCTGATGGTTCCTCGCCTCCCCTCCCACTCTCTGCCTCTCCACGACAGGTCGTGGCTTTGTGCTTCGCGTTGGTGCTGGGCGGCCTCACCCCCAGCCTGAGCCCCCTCACCCCCTCTTCGCTCGCCCCCTCCTCGCTCGCCCCCTCGTCCGGCCACTCGGAGGAGGTGGCGCTGGCGGGCAAGGATGCGTACACGACCACGCGCAGTGAGTGCCACCTCCTCCGCGTGTTTGACCGCCCCCCCCCCCACTCATCCATTCATTCACACATTTACTCATTGATTCACTGGCTCATTTTCTCACTCATTCATGCACTAATTCATCCGCTCACTTATTCATTCGCTCGTTCATTCACTCATCCCTTCATTAATCTGCTCGTTCATTCACTCATTCGATCATTGCCTCATTGGCTGACACTAGTTAAGGCCATAGAGATTGCCTGTGTCTCTGTTGCTTACTCAATAATTGGTTCACGTACATTCAGGGCCATTTGAGACTGTCTCTGGAAAACTCATTTGTACATGTGTGTCCTCTTTAAAGGACAAATTAATGAATTCGTTCACTCATATATACTTTCTTTAAGGCTACGTTGAGAGCTTGTGGATTCCCGGTCCGTTTCATTTACCCATTCAACAATAATTTCCTTTTGCTCTCATTTCGAATCGGCCGACAGCTCGGTGATACGAATCCCACCTCGAGTTAGTCCGTCACTTGCTTTACTAAAATACTTTTGCGAGTCCAACGCAGCTGCCTACTACTTCGCTCGCTCGTTCCGTTGCTAAAGCGTTGCATTTATTCATTCGAGTACATTTTACCGTAGAGCAGGTCTCTGGACAATTGAGTCAAACAAAGCAAATACAGTAAGCATCTGATAAAAAAAGAAAGTCAACATTAACATTCAACACACTAAAATAATAATACGAGAACATTGAGCCGTAATAACAACGGATCATTAACATTTAAATGGAGTTCAATATTTCAGCGAGATACATTTTAAATGAGATAAGATTTAAGTGGGTGGAGCGGTGGAACGGTGGTTAAGCAGCATGTCCTTTAAACCTGGCTAAGCCGAGTTCAATTCTTGGCTATGGCTCATGGCGAGTGATATCTGGACTGGTCCTGGTTCCCCAATCTCCCCCCCACCTACCCCCCACCCCCCCACACCAAACTGCGTCGACCAGTGTGGTGAAGTATGGCCAAACAGCCCTCATGACCGACACGGCTTGGTAAAGCAGTGGATCGGCAAAGGGCTGCAAATAATAATAATAATAATTATTATTATACGCTCAAGTGTAAGATTGCTTACATTCATCTTTACCAAGCTCCAAGTGCTATTTCTTATAACATTCTGAATAAACAAGGGACAATTGTTTTAAGACCTCCAACCGACCGGTGCATCGTTAAACACACAGCGAGCATCGTGGGTAGAAACCAGTTTCCAAATTCGGTCGCAACTCTCGGAACACCGCGCAGGAATTTCATCGCCGATCGCCAGCGCACGCTCACCCCCCCACTCACCCCCCCACTCACCCCCCCACTCACCCCCCACTCACCCCCCACTCACCCCCCACTCACCCCCGCCCCCCCGCACACAACCCCCCGCACCCCCCGACTCACCCATTGTGCCCGTGTGTGCCGGTGGTGGAGCAGTGCGTTCCCGGAGCCTCCTCTTCTACGAGGATGGGCCCTCGCTGGAGGACGCGTCCGTGGTGTGGCCGCGTGAGCGAGAGGAGAGGCTGTACGACGGCGCCGCCGCCGGGATGGCCGCCGCCCCGCCGGCGCCCAGGCCCTGGAGGCACGGGGCCGGCGAGCGGCACTCGGAGCCGGGGAGCGACGCCGTCCGCGACGGGGACGGCAACGGCACCTACAACAAAATCACCGTGCCTCACCGGTATGCGCGGACGCCACGGGCGGCGGGGGAGCGTGGGTGGCACGGGCGGAGGAGCGTGGGTGGTACGGGCGGAGGAGCGTGGGTGGCACGGGCAGGGTAGCGTGGGTGGCACAGGCAGGGTAGCGTGGGTGGTACGGGCGGGGTAGCGTGGGTGGCACAGGCAGGGTAGCGTGGGTGGTACGGGCGGGGTAGCGTGGGTGGTACGGGCGGGGTAGCGTGGGTGGCACGGGCGGAGGAGCGTGGGTGGCACGGGCGGGGGAGCGTGGGTGGCACGGGTGGGGGAGCGTGGGTGGTACGGGCGGGGTAGCGTGGGTGGCACAGGCAGGGTAGCATGGGTGGTACGGGCGGGGTAGCGTGGGTGGCACGGGCGGGGTAGCGTGGGCAGCATGAGCCCAGAAGAATGAAATGGGCCGCTCCCACCACCACCCCCCACATCCCTGGGTTCCATCGCCCGTTCCCTTTCACCGGTCGTCTACAAGGTTGTAGGCGGAGACGCCCTGAGCAGACGTCAGTTGTCATTGAGGGAGAGTGACACCTGAACCGGTCCTGTATCCCCCCCCCCTTTCCCCCCTACATAAAACTCATACTCACTAGTGTGGTGAAGTATGGTCTAACAACACTCTCAGAGTAATAAAGTAATTATAATAATGTTTAGTTTTTATGTGGCATTGTTGGTCATGAAAATCGAATCTCACGATCGCTGAGGAGCCACAGACAAAGCTGTAAGCCAGGCAGTGAGCTGGCGCTAACAATTTCCCAAGCTCCGCAGTCCTCCATACATGAGATGTTTTCGGCCAGTTAACGAGTGTTTATACACGACTGACACGTGACGGGGTGGGGAGGTCTCGATCTGGGAGCGGATTGACACGGCTACAAATGATTTCAAAATTAGTATTCACGTGCTGTAGCGGGGTACTAAGCAAGAGCACGCTCATGATTAATAGAATACTGGTGCCTGTTCTAATTGAGCGTTTGCACCACGCTGCCCGTGTGCGAGCTGGGGCTGAAAGTTGCCGGCTTTTCGAGACCAATATGTGCCTAAATTGGTTTGTGGCGACGTGCTTTGAAGTGGGTCCAGTGGAGAGTCTATTTATGCACGAGACCCACGCACGAGGTCACGCGCACACGTGACGGAGAGAGCCGGGTACGGCGCGAAAACAAACAAACCATGCCAAGCGGTAATGCGAAATACGCAGGGACAAAATGCCGCAAGCGTGAAAAATGGAAAAACTCAAAATTGGGATCATAATTGTTGTACTGTGCTCTGCAGCTCTACACCCCTATGTCATGCCCCCCCCCCTCCCACTTCACTAACTCGCACTGATTGGCATGGTGAAATATGGGCAAACTAATTATGATGACCCACATAGCGCTGTGGAGTGACAAAGGGCTGGACGAATAATGAAAATTATATATATTCGTTTGAGATTCAAAGCACGGTCACCGATGTTAAAGCACTTTATAATAGTTCATGGAATTATGTAATAAATTGGGGAAAAACCCGCAAGGATTTTTTTGTTAATGACGTCAATTGTAACGTGTAAACACCGCACAGAAATGTAACTTACAAATGCCAAAATTGCGATGAAATTAAACGGGGGTCACCTCCTGATAACAAACAAAATCGATCCAATTTCTACAGTGGCCAAAAAACTATCCTCCTTGAGAAATAAGATAAACCTCCAACTCTGAATAACGCATGAATAATAAAATGTATGAGGCTTGTCAAACATGAATGTGAACATCGGTCGCGTGGATTCGTAGGCCCGTTACCCGGGCGTGTACAGTCCAGTTAATGGACCCAATTCCACCCACCCATTCGGCCGTATGAAATATTCAAAAACGTGGCCGTGATATTTTTTTTGCGTGTGTTTTAAAGGCGCGTTCTCTCCGCCCCTCCCTCCCTCCCTCCTCAGGGAGGAGCTGAGGCCCGGCTCGAGCGTGACGGCCGAGCTCGCGCGTGACCCAACGGTGAACGCCACGGCGTGATGATGATGACGACGACGACGATGATGACAAACGCAGGACCCTCGTGCTAACCCGAACGCAAGATTAAAGAAAAAAAAAACGGCTTGGAGAAATAAAATACTATCGTTTGTGAACCATTGTACATATTTAAAAAAAAAAAACGTCTATTTCAACTTTATGAGCAGCCTTAATGTATTTTTTGGACAAATATTACAAAAAAAAGAAAAATATATAAAACTATTACACGCAAAAAAAATATTAAATTTATATTTAGAACTATTTTGTAGCGTAGCGCTAGACGTGGCCTTAGGTTAGATCAAGACAGATGTAATATAAACTATTTTTTTCTAAGAGACTAGGCAACAAAACCCGTACACGTATATATATAAAAAAAAATCTGTAACAATAAATGTCGTCTAAATGCAGACCGTGAATCGCTTTGGGCTCGAGGCTCGTCTGTGCGCGGTCGTGAACGGCGACGACCCATATGTGTCGGCTTGTCGCGAGTCGTCCGATGGACGTTCGGCGCAAATCGAGGGAAACTTCAGAGACATTCCGCTCTTCAGCTTCGCCGCCGCTGTGCCGCGCGCTGCACTGCGTACGTCCGCTCTCTCGCTTGTCGTGTGCGCGTGTAGGGGAGCGGTGGTGCAGCGGTTAGCGCTACGAACCCGGCGACCCGAGTTCGATTCCCGTTCACGGCCAACACCGGTGACGGTTATCTGAACCGGTCCTGGGCCTCCCTTAGGTCGGCTCAGCCTCAAATGAGTACCTGGTGCGGTGTGTAAAAAACATCGCTACTGGGGAGACAAAGGCGGTCGGGCGTGGTGCTGGCCACCCACCCCCTCGTGTGCCGTGCAGGCCTTCATCGGTGCTCGCTAACAGCGCTTGCCCCAACAGTCTTTTAAAGTGATACGGGCGATCTTTGTTTTGTTTGTATGTGCGTTCGTCCGTGTGTGTGTGTATTTGCGTGCATTCTGCTTCGAAACCCCTAGTCGTGGTGCCCCCCCCTACCACTCCCGCCCCTCCGCGCGGCCCGTTTTCTTTCCGAATCGCACTGCCCCCCCACTTACGACGCTGCCATCGCCGACAGGTTAAAGAGGCTGCTGCAGCCATCTCGCGCTCGCCATCCACATGCCCGAGCTCTACCACGAGCTTTGTTGACAAATGTGTGCCGAGCTATGTTTTGTATTTTGTGCCTAACCACCACACTCTTAAACCAGACACTAGCAGTGACCTTGGCCACATTTTCCATCCAGACACTACCCCTGCCACTGACTCTAACCACACCAGGCAGCCAAGACACTACCCCTGCCACTGACTCTAACCACACCAGGCAGCCAAGACACTACCCCTGCCACTGACTCTAACTAGACAACCAGACTCTAGCCCTACCCCTAACTATACGAATCAGACAAGAACCCTAACCACATCATTAAATCAGACGCTATCCTTTCCCTGGTTCTAACCAAACCGGACGCAAACACGAGCACTTGCTCAGGTCTATCCCGAACATGAATTCCACCTCTGCCACTTTGCCCAGCCTCCGCCTCCTTCATCCACTTGATACGCCTTTCATGTTAGTGTTTACGGTACGGTGCCTTGTGATGCAAAAACCCCGCAAAGACTCCAAAGGGTAGTTGCCCCATGCTGCAGTGCGTTTAGTTTGTGGTTGTACGCGTTTAGTGGTGGGTGTACGCGTGCGTGCGTACCCACATGGCTTCTTTCAATGGGCAGGACAAAAACAAATATTTTTCGGCTTGTCGCATGTAAATAATCGCACAGTTGTAACGCTTCCGATGGGAAACATTTTATCCAATTGTTGTTTATAAAAGCCTGTGTAGTGCGCGATTATTATTATCATCATCATCAATATCAATATTGTCTGAAAAATGCAAATGACTCTTTTCAATGTATGTCTCCAAATAAACGCAGGGTTTAGCAGCATATTATATTTTGCACCCCCCCTCCCTTGCTTCCTACTTTGGCATCGCGATGTTATTGTTGCTCCGTAACGAGGGCAGAATATCTTTCTGCGGTGTAGAATTCGCCACCTAATTATCCGTGACGGGTCTTAAGAGGCCGCACAAGAGTGAGCCCTCTAACGAACTTCCCCCTTCTCGTCGGCACGGAAATGAAAATCGTCTCCGGTGGGATTTTTTTCCTCCATTTTTCTTCTCACAAACCCTCCCTGACCCGATGATGTGGATGCACTTATCTCGCCGACTTGAAAGACTCAAGAAGAAGAAGAGGCAAAAGAGACGACACGAAGCTGCACTCGCACTTGATATCAAAATAATGAAACGTCAAGGGGGGTGGGGGGTCGTGCTGTGGCACCGGTGGACATGACGAAGATGCCACAGTTTCACCACTTGCATCGTGAACACTGCCTCATAACATTTAGTTGGCTCACGTTTGGGGATGCGACACCAAAAAATTGGCAGTGGCCATTCCAGAGTAAAAGAATGGGACATTCCCTGTATCATTAGGTAACTGTATAGTTTTTTTGTTTATGCTGTAAAGCCACGATAATTATGAACTTGGTGTGATTTTTATGCACTCTTCCCAGTTGTATTCTGCGTGTGCTATCAGTGTCAAGAAATTCATTCCTCTTTCCGTTCGGAACCCTTGGGCAGGTCTATCATCGTGACTCTGCTCAAGAAACTCCCCAAGTTCTTTACTTCCGGGACACTTTTAAGTGACCTCTTTGATCCACAACATTTCTAAGTGTCGCGTGGCAGTCAAACCAACAATATAGAATTTTAACTCTCAAGAGATGGAATTGTTTTTTAAGTTGACGCAGACCGAGACCATCAACTCGCCCGTGCTCGAGGGCCTAGTTTCATTATGGGTGACTGAATTCTTGATTTAAATCCAGGGTATATGCGGTGCCAACTGGGTACTGGTATCGCGGAGCCTCTAGGGCACATCGTGGAGGGGAGGAAAATGGGATACGGGGAAATAAGGATGTGCTACAAAATTTAGAATATTTTTCTTATTCACTCGCACGAATCCAGTTCATCGCGAATGCGCGCCGCCCGAGTGGGCCCCCATGGAATAACAGCGCTCTGCGTTCAGTATGCCGCAAAACTGACTGGGATAGGATAGATCGTGAACATCTACCACCGCTGGTAACTGAGGCCCCCCCCCCCCCCCCCCGATGGAACTGCGCCGCTGGCCGTATCGCTGCGCAAGGTTTTTCTTGCGCGAACGTTGGGGGCTTGTGAGCCACGGTCTTAAGGGTCAAGCGGAAAAAGCGACGATCGCTTTCGACAAGCGACGCGTGGCTTGCGCGCGGTGCCCTCGGCAGCGAGGGCCTCGCGTTTTCGGAGCTTTGCCTCGCGCCGACGGAACGAATTCTGACGGTCTCGAAGCGAGCACTCGCGCAGGTGATCACGGCTGCATTGGGGACGATCGCGTCGCCGTTTAAATGTCACCGGTTGCATGCTCGGGGAAGGTCTCTCGCCGAGCCTCGTGGCTATTTTGCTGGGAGGACCTGCATCGGAATGTTTGGCCAGTGCCCTGAATGAGAAAAAAAAACCGGTGGAGGGGGTATAACGCGCGAAGCTCTGTGTGCAGATTTGTTTTGAATCTGTGAATCATTGAATGCGTGTCCGTGAGTGTGTGTGGACTGAAACTATTCCTGTGCCGCCATCTCCTGGCATCGTCGTCAGCTCAACACGGCGGTAAGCGTGCATTTTAACAGCAAAAATATAAATTCACATCACCCTGTTATTTACCGAATGAAAGCCTAACTGGGTCTCGGGACACTATTTTGTTGGAAGGCCGTGCATCGATTGGGTTGTTTGGCCAATGCCATATTATGATTGTTTTGTCTGGCTCTATGTGGCAAGACCTTCCTGAGACTCTGCGAAGCTCTTTCGGGTGAACGAGCGGAATCGTCACAATAGCCGTGGGTCGTGTGTGCTGCATGTACGTTGGACTTCTTTCACACCGTACGTAGCCAACCGTGCTAATCGGAGGTGCGGGACGAAACCAAAATACCCCTCCCCCCTGGCGAAATCCTACAACAACAAAAAAACCGCTCGAAACTCCACACAGATGGGTTCACTCCACAGGCGCTCGATCGCGCAAACTGCAACGCGCCAACGCTGGCTCCTGGTTGAGAGAATCGACCGCTGACGTTGCGAGGCTAACGAGTGCTGGGGGCCGGGTGGGAGGGGAGGGGAGGGGGGGTTATAAATAAGCTGTGGGGATTGAACGCAGTAAATGCCTCCCGTTTCCATAATCCGACCGCAACCATTTCCGCGTAAGAGCGGAGCCCAACGTCTTTTGGAACGAGGCTCCGGAAGAGGTGGCAGAGAGAGGCCTACGTGAGGTATAGGAGGAGCAACCCTGCAACTCATTGCTTGCATCGCCACAGTCCTGGAATGACCTCCACTGAAGGGTGATACAGAGAAACTCCCCCCCACACACACTCCTCAGGAATCTAGCTGGTATTTGGCCTACTCTTCCACCCCAGTCAGACGCGTTCGAAGACGTGGGAGCACCGACGCTTTATCCCACCACACGCTACCGAATTGCCAGTCGACGAACTGGGGGTGCACTACACATTGCCGACACTCTGTGTACCGATGAGTAAACGGAGGGGAGTGGGGAGGTGATGGGGATGGGGTAAACACGAGCACATGTTTTCAATTGGCCGCGCAGGGAGATCGAATGTGTCCTGGGTGCTGACCAATTGTCCACACTACCATTTGTGATGGCCCCAGGTCGGGGAGGGGGGGTGTTTACCTGGTGAAAAAAACAATCGCTAGCTTAAATTACACCTCCGCAACCACTGGCGGAGCCAGTGGGGGGGGTGGCACGTGCCCCCCCCCCCCCCATGATCCGATCGAAATCCCTCATTTCGATCGGATCATTGGGATTTATTAGTAATAAATTGGCATTTTGCGACCCGCACTGCCACTGTGTAGCATATTATTACGTTCCAGGGACCATTTGAGATGATAGGACAATAGTCTGAGTCTATAATTGGCAATAAGTAACGGCAAAGCAGTTATAAGTGACTCAGAATTGTGTGCAGTTGCGTCTACAGTACACGACTTCCCTGAAGGCATCAACACCTTCAGCGAGCGCGATGCCGATCACACAACGCGGTTCGAATTCGACCCTCGGTCGATGGCTGCGCCATCGCCACACACGCGTCGAATAAAAAGCAAGGGACAAGTCCTTACTTACTAACAACTCCTTACTCACTAACAAGTCCTTACTTACTAACAAGTCCTTACTTACCAACAACTCCTTACTTACTAACAACTCCTTACTTACCAACAACTCCTTACTTACTAACAAGTCCTTACTTACCAACAACTCCTTACTTACTAACAACTCCTTACTTACTAACAACTCCTTACTTACTAACAACTCCTTACTTACTAACAACTCCTTACTAACAACTCCTTACTTACTAACAACTC